TCATCCTTTAGCCTTGGTGGTTGAATTTTGAGGTTACCTCCTTCCTCTCACTGAGCCCTTTGTGGGCTGACCTTGGAGCAACGTTTGAAGTTTTGGTTGGTCGATTGTTGTGGTTCGATTGGTTTATCTGAGCCCGGATATTGGTTGATTGAAGACCCAATTTCCAACATGACTGTTTAATAAAATTTTGGATGATTTTCATCTAAAATGACTTAACTGCATCTAAATTGAAAGGAACCAAAATGCTCTGAGCGGTACTATTTAGAGACTATAGCTCTAAATTTCTCTTGAATTATACAAAGTGTACATTCCATAGGTTATACAATATGGTGTGCAAATTCAAAAGGTGTTCGACGAGAAAGTATGTATGTTGTTTTTAAAAACTGTCTAATCTTGTATCGACACGTGGTACAATGTAAAAAATGATGTAAAACAAGATGTACATATAGTATGATTGATTTCTCTTTTCTCGCTCACTTCCATCTTACATGATTTTCAAACTATAATTTTAAGGTTCGGCCGATCAAATGATTGTATACAATTAATCGTGATTATCATTTTCTCTATATATTAGGATAACACGTCATATTGTCAATAAATTCTAATCCTAATGGGAAAATTGGACAAGGAATTGATCTCAGCCTCTATATATATATATATATACACATATCAATCAAATCAAAGTTCAACATAGGTTATCAACTGGGTATCCATGTATCCGTCAACTGCACTTCTCTTACCTAATTGTGTAGATAAAATTAATAGGATTAAACTACTTGTACACACTTGATGTATATGAAGTTTGACATTTCATGTGTTGTCGAAATTTGTCTTATTAATTGTTTAAAGTGTTGTTAAAATAAATGTGTAAGAAATTGTCACTTTACAACAATGTCAAATTTAACCCTTGTTTGATAGGATTAAAGTCAGATTTTTAATATCTTTCTATATATAAAAAGTGCCTATTTAACAGAATTTGTTGGTTTAACGGAAAAACTAACGGAATTTGTTGTTTTAACGGATTATGTAACGGAATTTCTTGTTTTAAACAGGCAGTTGCACCTTCTTTCAGTGTTTTTATCATAACTTTGTATTCCAATGTT